ATGCCCCAAGCTATTGATTTATTTCTTTTTGCTATTAATTGATTGAATTTTCTTTATTTTCTATTATGGTATGTATGCATGTATGCGGTATACATACACGTATGTAGGTATATGTTTTATTAACCATAATGCAATAGTCAAGCTGACTACGAGTACTGTTCTCTGTTAGCTACAAGGTTTGTAATTGCATCGTGTCAATTATTTTCATTGCGCTGGCTGTTCATTTGACGCGAACAACGGAAATAATAAAAGAAATAACAACATTAACATATTATATTTATGTATATGCATTTTTTTTTTCATTAAGTTGGTCTCAACTTGGAACAAATTTAAATTTTTTTTTCAAAAACAGTTTTCAAATCGATGCCCACACATGCAAGTATGTAGGTTTGTATGCACATGAATTTTATTTTGCCGAATTTCAGCTTTTATAAATAAATTTATTATTGAAGAAACGTTCAAAAATGGTTGTTTTTCAAATTTTTTCTAACACATAAACAGAAAAAAATCTTGTTAGAGCTTAAAAACAATTCTTGTTGCTAAGTCGACAAGTTACTGTTTAATAAAAAATATTAAAATGTAAAAAATAAAAACATTAATTCCAATTAAGACTTTCAAAAAAGCCCCAAGTGAGGAGCAGCCTCAATGCTTACAGACAATTCTATTCTTTAATAGCTTTAAAGCCTTGAATAAAGCTTTATGAAAATTATACTAACCAACAAATGTGAAATAAAACTGCTGTGTAAATATTTTTTAGTATTTGTATTAAATATTTTTTATTCATGCTAGCAACATACGTAAAGCGCAAAAAAAACAGAAAAAAAGGTTTTAATATTCGTATGTTTATAGCTAACAAACAAAAAACAATCTATTTTATTTATTTATTTATTTTCTTTTTTCGAAACAAATAGCGTATATCTATACGTGCAGGAATTTATGTAGCTTTTGAGAGCTTTTAATATTTTAGATTTTTTAGCTCAATAAACGTGTGGACATAATTCATGCTAGCAACATACGTAAATCGACAAAAAAAAAAAACAAAAAACAGAAAACAAAGCCTTATTATTCTTTTGTTTATATATATCAAATAAAAAACAGTCGAAGTTGGTTTACAAACTATTTTTTATTATTATTTTTTTATTTTTATTTATTTTTTTTTTTAATAAATAACGTATGTATGTATATGTTTCATCATGCGCATTCTATTTTTCCTTTTATTCTGTATCATTTTCGCTCATTCTAAGTATAACTGTGAGCTCTGGAAGTGTACCGTTATTTTGCTTTACTTTTTTCTTTGAAGTGCGACAAAAATGCATGCATGTTTTTTGCGACAGCCGATTAGCACATTTTCGCTTTCATGTCACTTTTTGTGTGTAAGCTGCCTTGATTGGGTGTTTAAGTTTATTATTTATTTATTGGGACTAATTATCAATAAAATAAAGTAATAATATTCAAAGAAAACCCGTTGGACGAGTCTGAAAAAGGCAAAATAAAGGCTTGCAGGGAGTGCGGGCTCTCTATTCTTCAAATATCAAAAAATATTAAGCGCAGCCGTCAAGTTATTACCGCATATTTAAGCAATGAGGATACATATGGGAAAAACATGAAAGGTCGGCCATCATCAGTAATAACAGCAGCTGACAAGCGAATCATACTACGACACGCATCTAATTTCCACGATTCAGCCGCCAAAATAAAGGAAAAAACTGGCGTTAAAGCGCGCGTTAGGACTGTGCAAAGAGTTATTTCGAACGCTGATGATATGAAGCATATAAAATTAAAAAAAAACCACCTCTAAACCATGCCTACTACTTTCATGATCTCAGAAAGGAAGAGCATACTTTAGATCGATTGCTGTGCGGGTGGAGGCTGTTTCACTCAATTATATAAAAAAAAATATATGACTCCTTACCACAGCGGATGTACGAAGCCATACTTAACCGTGGAGGCTCAACACATTATTAATTTGTATTCAAAAAAAGTTGAAAATATTTAGATTAATATTACAAAACAATTTGAATGAAGTTTGAACCCATTTTCTTTTGTTATTTTAAGTTTTTTTAAGTGACTGTGCTAATCGGCTGTCGCAAAAATTATAGAGAATTTTGTATGTTATGTTTGTTTATATTAATTTAAAATGTTATTAATAAAGTTAGTATCCTATCTTCTATTAATTTTCGTGTGAAATTATATTATATATTTTTTTAAGGTAAGAAAAAATTATTTGAAAAGCTTTTTTAGTTTTCCTGATATTAAGTTTCTAAGACGAGCAGCATAGGGTGTGCTAATCGGTTGTCGCGCAGTGTATGTGTAAAAGTATTTTCAAATTGAAAATAATATAATCAATATATTCATAATTATGGTATTTTCAAATTAAATTTATTTTTTAAAAATCTTTTTTTTTTTTATTAAATTTTTAATTTATTTCTAAACAAAAGACTCAGCTAAACTTGCATCAAGTAGAAAAGTGTATTTGTAGATATTTATGTACTCGTATATTTAACATTCTACACATTTATAGACGTGAGTAAACATCGCTGATTGTAATGTTGTATGTATTAATTGATGAGCAACTATTAAGTATGACGTTGACAAGGCCGTAGCTTAATAATCCTAAGCTATTGAGTACTTATTGGAAATACGTAAACAAAGATTGAAATTATACAGCAAATTTGTTTAGATGCTAATGCTAGTGATTGGTAGTTTTATTTTATTATTTACCAAATACATATGTATATGAATATTTGATAAACGTTTACATCATAAGCGTATAACCAGCGATTATATTTGTTAAAAACGTGTCTAAAACTCAACAAAAAAAAAGAAAAAAAAATATTAAAAAATAAGGATTTAAAAGATCATCGTTAATATTTTAATTAATAAAATTAACTGAATAAACTGCAAACTATTTGTGGATGATTTTAGCCTGGTTATGTATGCATGCGCTCAGATTTGTTTGGTTTCACATAAATACAGATTTATTTACAAATATATGTATATACATTTATATGTATATGGCTTTGTTAATTATTGTATATTCGTTCATTGACTTTGTGGCAAACATGTGTTGAGAAATTTTCAATTGTTTACACATACTTATATGCATATGTACATATGTACAATATATCAAAGCTTCAAATTATATCAATTCATGGCATACACAAACATATATAGCTGCATGTGATTATAATTCATATCGACCACAGATACAGTTAGTCTGGAAGAAAGCACTCTAATGTTTTTTTTCTTAATTTCTATTTTCTTAATTTTCAGTTCTATGAACTTCTTTGTATACACCTCCTTTATAATTGGATTATAAAAGCGCACATAAAGTAGTCTATACCATACACGTTTACCACTTATGCCTTGTATACCCGTTCACTGACACTCAACTATCATTCATATCATTTACATACGTACAGATGTTTTTTTCAAGCCTGCTATTCCTAAAATTCATATCACGATTTACCCAGTTAAGTTAACATGCAAATATGAAGTTCAAATAAATTTGAAGTGAAGCTTATGGCACTTGCACAGGGTCAGCTATTTAACTACGTATGTATATACCTACAAATAAATATATCAACTCAACTCATGCAAAATAGAGTTATTAGAATGAATTTTTTGTGACACACATCTGAAATTCACCAGCACTTTTTGTATTTCTTTCAATATTCAGTTACATTTTCTGGATTATATAAAAGAAAAACAGTATTTAATAGTGTGATTTTTATTTATTTATTGAAAAATGTATCAAATGTAGATAGGTACTTGTGTTAAATAAACAAAACTTCCGTTTGTACAACAGAGTACTTATACTGATATAGTGGTATCGTTATCAAAACGGAAATATTCAAACTTGTAGTAAAGATAAAATCATGGTAATATTAGTATAAATTATAAAGAAGGCTAGCTCTGAGGTACTTTAGGCATATTGTGGCTGGACTGTGGGAGATATGACTGAGTTCTTAAATTGATTACGTGGAATTTATGGAAGAAAATCTTGAATTTCCAATTGCATGTGGATAGTCATACTTATTATAACAACTATTTGAGCAAACAATGAAAAAAAAAACACTGTCATAACCTTTAAAACTGTTTATAGTTCTATTTATGAGATTTATGTAGGTAGGTACGCATATTATATATTAACGGCCAAAATTTGTTTCAATAAAGAGTTTCTAATTTGTAAATAGCAAATTTCAATGTATTTTACTATATATGTATTAATGTATGTATGTAGGACCTTCAACAACACCAATAAGTAAAAAAAAAAGTAAATTAAAAACGTTGTACTATCTTTGCAATGGAAACTTAGCAATTAGAAAAATAGATTTGCCTGCAAAATAATTCACTTTTGCGGCAGCGTTCACGTAATTAGAAAACCGTACGACTCAAATTACCCCAACTCCAGTCTAAGATATACATAGAGAATATAAGTGTTTCAACTGATAAGTTAAAATTAATTTTAAACAGAATGCGCAAATATTATCGTGGTTTTTAGACTAAAACTCATACAACTTAATGGATATGTAGCTACACACGGGAAAGATTGACTGGTCGTTAAGATAACACTCGAGTAATTCTTTCATTCAAAAATAAAAAATAAAAAAAAATATTAAAAAAAATAAATAAAAAAAACTAAATAAAAAAACAAGAGGTTTAATTACTTATTTAATATGACGAAGATTAAAGAAAGTGTTGTAATGTGTAAAGACATTTCTGCGTAACACAATTGTAATGGCGATTCATAAGAGAAGGAACTACATATAGAAAACAAGACAAATGTAGTGACATTGACCTTACTGTAAATAATTGTAAAAAATCGACAGTCAAGCAAAATTCGAAGAGTTGTATCGTGTATACATAACTGGTTTTTGTGTCTTTTTTAATTGTTATTCGGTGAAATTTATTTTCAATAAAATGTGCCACATTTTTGTTATTGCACTAAATGATTCACTTTGTTTACCTAAAAGAAAAGTATATTGAATGAAACTTACTTCGTAAATTGGCAATTTGTCTGAATTCCATTGAGCTATGCGTTCCGAGCTCCTATCCACTACAGTGACCTGTATGTCGGGACACTTAAGCGCCATTACGGCGCAAGTTGGTCCACCAACATATCCAGCGCCGATACAACACACTTTCATTACGGTTAGCGAATCCATTTTTGTTTTGATTGTTTGTCAAAATAAATTAAGCACAAAACTTTAGTAAAGCATAAAACTAATGCAATTAAATTCACTTAAATATTTTTAAATGCAAAAATTAATATAAATATATTTGTGCAGGCAACTTTGGTTTTGACTACTAATTCGCGTTTCACTCCTTTCAGTCTTAAGTGTTTAATTCGTTTTTGCACAATAATTACGCGCGTAAAACGACGGAACAATTTAACTACTCACACCTTGTTGCTCAGGCAAAGAATAAAAGAATTTAGCAAGAACATTTTTAATTTATTAAATTTTCCAATTTCCTTTATGCAGGCGATTCGCAATTCTTATCTAAATTATTCTCCATGCTAAAATTGACAGCGAACCGGCTGGGAGAGTATAATTTGAGGTGCTCAATATTTTCTCTTTTTAAATATATACATACGCAGAGTTGCAATTTGAATCGCATACAAATGTAATAGATGGGCTTACACATAGAAAATTATTTGTTTATAAAATTTGTTAAATGGGCATTATTTTGTAAAAATTTATTTAAAAAATTTTTACTGCTTTTTTATATGTTTATATGTTATGGAGGTGATATAAAAAATATCCTGAAAACACTTCTAAGCAAAGCCTGTCGAATAACCACGATTTGGATAGCTTTTACCTAGCGTTTTTCGGATTTGTTCTATAAATTGCAATAACTTAGTAATGCCAGGACAAAGATTTTATTTGTAATCCATTGAATTTATAGTAATTATTCAAATTATTAAATAGTAATATATTTTCATGAGTTTATATTTAAAATTTTAATAAAAAACCAATTGCTATTGCATTAAATATCTCTTTAATATTATAATATATATTAAATATTTTTTTAATAAACAGAAATAATATTGTAAATTTGTTATTTTTCATATAAATATTTCCATTCCATTAAAAAGGGAAAGATCAATAACTCGTGGTGAAAAGATACGTCTAATAAAGGCATTTATTTTCAACAACAAGTTGCTAACAGACGAAGTAACAAATGCGTGTGTTCTCAGTAACGTATAAATACCAATAGGATAACAAAAACAAATATAAAATACATGAATACATATCGCATGCCAATGCATTCATTGTGAGTGACCGATGAAGAGAGCGGGAATCGGCCTTGAGGCAAAAGTCTCACTACATAAATGTGAGCTATATTTAAACCCACTTGCCTAGCGGGGTTGTGTGCTGAGATGAATATTCGCTACGTAGAAAGCAGCTCCAATGGAAAAGAAACAACAGTCTCAGATGAGAGACCCCACTTTTGATTTTGGTATCACCGCTTTTTTCACTTTTACGGTTGTGTAAAGCACTGTCAGAATCTGGAAGGACTATTTCGAGCCATTGGATATCAAAGGAGGACAAGGATACTCCAGTTTTAAAACTTATTGATGCAGCACCTGCCGGTGGAAGCAGATGGGAATACTAAGCGGAGAAGGAAAAGTATTGACAGTTTTAGCTACAGCTTCAACAACATCACATCGTTACTATGCTGTAGAGAATAAGTCTGCTGTTTCGGCCCGCTCTATCTTACTTAGAGAGGCTCTAATCTCTGAATATGCCACACATTATCCTCCAATAATGTCACTACATCTGCTGTGGTAAAATTTTGTGTTAAGCACAAGAATAGGCGAGAAGAATTAAGGCGGCAGCCTTGCCACTTTCTATGTCACTGTCGGGGTTAATTTAACTTGATTTAAGTAGCTTTGCTTCCGAATTGGTCTTTCGTTGCGGTTTTCAATGACCGTACCTTATTCGGATTTCACTTACTTCAGAACAACGTTTGCAAATCGGAGCAAATTTATTACCAAAATAGTGGTACGGTTATAGCGATGAGGCGGGCGATGCGTTCTATATGCGGTCGACATAATCGCACAGCAGTGCCGATAATTCGAGAGGTTTGGTTTCACAATACGTTTACTCTAGTGGATTACTCAGAGAAGTGAAGGGCGCACATCGGTACGCTATTGCTGCTGTGGAGAAGAGTACCGAAGAAGACCCGAATGAGTCTATCTGATAACGCGAGCTACAATTGGAGCTTTGCCTATCCACTATACAAAAGATTTTACAGAAGGATCCTGGATTGCGGGCTTACAAAATCTAGCTCGAAAAGAATGGAACACGAACGACCAAAACGAGATTGTTGCATTTGTAGTGATGATAACCGATAAGCCATTGTTGGAACGCCTTTACATCCTCGAACAGTCACTGTTTGCTGTGCTCTATGGGCAGAGTGTATCCATATTTCTACAAAAATGAAGAATTGAAGGATGCCAATATGAACGACCTTTGATTCCAACAAGAGGGCGCTACATGCCATACAGCTAACGAAACAATCAATTTATTGAAAGAGAGTTTTGGTAAGCGCATTATCTCGCATTGTGCGCCTGTGTAGTGACCTCCAAGATCATCTGATTTAACTCCACTGGACAATTTGTTTGTTATTATGCGAAGTCCCTTGCCTACGTAGTTTAGACCGAGACGAAAATAATATTCGACGAGTTATTACTGGCCTTTGGCCCCAATCACTGCACAAAGTGGTTAAATATTGGACCTCTCAAGCCAGTGGCGGTGACTTGCTCGGGTTCAAATCCTGGCGGCGTATTAACATCCAAAAAGTTATAGAAAATGAATTTAAATAAAAAATTGAGTTAAATTTTCTTATTGCGGTCGTTCTTTGGCAGGGAATGTCGACCTCTCCGAATGTGTTTTTGACATGAAATAAAGGCTCCTCATAAAAAACCCTCAGCCGTTCGGAGGCGGCTTAGTATAAACTATAGCTTTGTTGGAAAGAACATCAAGACGCAAAACCAAAAATTAAAGGAGGAGCTCGGCTGAAAATAACTTTACTGGTTACGAAGTGCTAATGATATATTTATATATATATATAAACACCCTTTACTTGATTTTTTTTCATGGTGATAATTTTCAAGGGCTACACCAGCAAACATTTTTTTCTACGTCCAGTCCATCTCTTAATAGCAATGACCCTTAAAGCTCCTGTAAATGAGCGTTTTTTGTTTGGGCAACCAAACAACTAGGTTAGGTAACCAAGCTGCGTATAAACCGGCTCAAAACAATATCACCGTTTATTGCACAGTAATTACATATACACCTTGAGTGGTCGGAATAAATAATAAACAAAAAGAAATTCGAACTGAAAAACGCTTTGTCAATTTTGAAAAGTCTTCATGTCTAATAAAAAATATATATTTACTACTAATCGAATTGTTAAAAAACATACTATATTTTCTCTTCATTTTTACATACATAACTATATTATTAAAATATCTACTGACCGTAAAAATAAGTGATTTCATCTAAAAAAAATTAGTGTGGACTATTTTAAAATAAAATAATAATAAAAAAAATGTCTGACCTTCTCGTGGAAGTTAAAAAATTAGAGCCGCGCGCAATCTTTGGTGCCAATGGTAAGGTTGAGAATGGTGTACAACTGCATCCCGATAAGGTGAGCATGATTTACTCGCTGGGCAACAAGATTGGCATCTCCAATAGACTTAACAACAAGCAGGAGTTCCTGAGTGGACACACACATGCCGTGTCCTGTCTGACGATTAGCAAAAGGTAGTGAGAGTACCGGTAATGGCTTATTTAAAACACAATCTTCTCACCACATTTCATTTCCAGTGGTCAATATCTTGCATCGGGTCAGCGCAATCATATGGGCTTTCCAGCTTACGTAATCATGTGGGATTTCGCAACACGCAAACAATTGACTCGACATGATCTCCACAAGGTTTTAGTGCAATCGATTGCGTTCACCGCGGATGAAAAGTGCTTGGTATCTGTTGGTGGAAAGGATGATGGCACCGTAATTGTCCTGGATACGGATGCACGGTGAGTTGGTGACTGTTGTGTTGAAGACACGTCAGTTCTAAGGTAAGCTCAAAGAGTCGAGTATATCTGGGTTTTTTTTTTATCACCTATTTCAATGCTGAGTTTGGGTGAAAATTTTTTTTGTCTCATACTATGTATACCAATTGGGCAGTTTTGATGTAATTAATCAAGAAAGGTCTATCGTATCATATGTGGGCAGAAATACTTTCTCCTGTCGTTTATTCTTTTCTTCATTTGGAGATATCAAGCAATTTTTCCTAACGGAGTCGAGCTCTTATCGTGGGCCAAACGTCTGCTTCCACCCTTGGGCACTGCGTCGAATACTTCCAAAGTGGAAGTGTTCTCTTTTATACAAAAAAATAAAAATGGCCGGATGTTGTTGTAAACGCAAAAATTATTCCCCAGAGTACTTTTTGTGGAAGGCTGGGGGAGTGACAGTCCTTGGCCAGACAAAAATCCGGGTCGTTCCTTTAATGGCTTGTGTAATAAATTTCAAAAGGATCTTCCTCCTTCCATTCTGGTACCCTACATCGCTCTTCTTGGACTAGGCATAAACCAGCTGGGCAGCGACACTTTCCCAATTAAGGTACCAGACATTCCAGGTGCATGTACTCTAATCGTGATCCTTAAAATATTTGCTTGAGGGTGTGGCTGTGGTGAATCCAAAATTTACGCAATGCCGCAGGGAAATTTGCCTTCAACCTTAGCTCGCCCCTGAACAGATGTTTGTTGGCTACTCGGCGGACACTTTTTCTGAGAGCGGAAGTTGTCTAATGCTTGAACCATATTTAAAAGTGGCTAGGACTCTCAGGTGAATGGCAGCCAAGAACTTTCCTCACATAGGTGAATTTGTACATATGGCTCCATCCTCCATCTGTCGAACTTCTTAAATGTAGAATATCAGATCCAAAGGACTAGGTTAGCAACAAAGCTCAACTAAATTGCCCTCCCTATTCTCACTTCATCTTAGGGTCAATGTTAAAATTCTTTTTCATGTTAATGAAATTAAGCTTTATAATAGTTCTGTTCGGTGAGCTGATGAGCAGTATCAATTGTTACCAATTCTTTTCTCGAGCCGCGTTCGATGAGGAAAAAAGTCAGGAAAACTTGCAACGAGAAAGCGCAATTTTGACATTTCGTTACAGGCTAATGTTTTCCCATTGTTGCTGTCTGCCCATCAGCTCACCGAACAGGACTAATATTAAGGGATATTTTCTTCTCTCCTAGCACACCGATTTGTCAAACTCCAGCTGCGCGCTCGATATCCGGCAACGCACTCACCGTTTGTTCCCTACACAACAGTCCCTCACATTTTATTGTCGCTGGTGATCGTAAGTTTTCGTCGCTCGATCAAAATTTATACTATCTTTATTTATATCCTTTTTGATACCCCACACTACGTAGGACATCTACGCATGTGGAGTATTCAACGTGAGCAGAAGAAACTTCATGTACATGATATGCACGTGGGAAAGGTCCAGCGCATATATACGGGCATGCAAGTGGATGAAAACGATCAATACCTCTATTTGGGCACCATGACTGGGGATATTGTAAAGGTCTCACTTAAGTGTTGTGATCCAGTCAATGTTACTACGATTGGCAATACAGCTTCGATGTTGGGCGCTTTTGGTAAGCACAACCCACGCAAACCTTATGGAAAGGATTGTGAACGATATGTGAACGGTGTGCGCCATTTGTGTATTGTGAAGAAAGGTTTGATATTGGTCGGTGCTGGTGATGGCACCTTAGAGTTGGTGGAGGAGCGTAAGGATGTTACTTTGGAAATGATGAAGAATTATCCATGCCCAACTTGGCCCATCTTCCGCACGGTAAGTAAAATGTACATTCATACATACATACATATATCAATTGCGATTTCTTACTTATGGGATAATCTAAACTCCAGCTGAAACGCACGAACGTGCATGCCGCCGTCACTTCGTTGGTACGAAGCAATACGACGAGTGATGATTTTATAGTGTCGACTGATCAAAATGAAATATGGCTCTTGAATATTGTGAAATTTTCTTGTAGACTGTTGAAGACATGTCATCGCAAGCCTGTAAATCAAATTGTATTTCCCAAGTGAGTTAACTATATTTCTTAATTCTAGTTGCCAATTAGAGAGACTTCTTAATTGATTAATTAATTGATTTTAATTAAATTTGATTAAACGATTCCCCGATTTATCAAACTAATAACTAACAAAAAATATTATGAGTAGTTGAATGCTGATTATTCAGTGTTTAATTAATTAATCAATAATTGATTAATCACTCTTAATTTACCATTAAATACTCAACGCCCCTAATGTGAGCTCGTTTCCTTTTTACAGGAATTTATCAACCGTCTTTGCCTCGGCTGGCTATCAAAGCATACGAATTTGGTCGATCGGACGCTTGCAAGAGATTCTACGTATCATGGTGTACAATTTTAAATGTGTCTCCTTGCAATTCACCAACGATGGCAGCAGCATTGTATCCGCTTGGAATGATGGTGTCATACGCGCATTTACACCAATCACGGGTCGCTTGATATACGCCATACCGAATGCTCATAATAAAGGTGAGTTTAAGGCATAATTTTTGTTAGACAGTAATAGATCTGACTATGTGGTCGAGAGTCTTTGGACCAGACCAATAACCTTTCAGTAGTATCTGGCGTTGCAAAGGGAATGACTTGGGCATTCAACGACAACTGTTCAGCAAACGAAAAGGGAAACGTGAGTGTCATTTGATTATTCGACTAAATTTTAGTATCCTTGTCAGAACTATATATCCAAGGGAAAGCTGAGGCGGCCGCAAGTATCGAGTTGTTAGCATTGCTTACTAAAATTTGGAAGGCCAGGGTTCCAATCTTGTTTTGACCAACATCCAAAACTAATTTTTTTAATGCTCCCGAGTGTATTCTGACATGAGTGCCGAGCGTGCCCCAGCAATATCGAAGAATCCCATGAAAAATGCTCCATTATATTCCTTACGAAAATGATACACTGCTTCTATAAAGGCGTGATCTTAGATTAGGATATATCGAAATGGTTGTTGGGACCATTGTGATATCACTGAGGATCCTAATGACCCCCATCTACTAATCAAATCAATGCGTAGGGTTTGGAAAACTGAGCTATCGACGTATCTTTGCACCCCCTATTTTGCTTCAAATCAAAAGTTGCCACCCTTAGAGACTTCATTGTACTCCTCCAAAGTTGTAGAGCATTCGTAAATTAAATGTCTTAAGGTTACAGGTTCTTTCTCCTCTCTTCAATTTCTTCAGAAGTCATTTGAGGTTAAGTTTCGTCTCTCTGCGTGTCTGCCCAATTGATTTTGATGATCTATAAAAGTACCAATTATTGTAGATATTTCCCGCGGTAAGCTCTCGTGATCTTCGGACATTAGCCACGTTGTCTTGGTCACAAGTTGGAATCTACGATGAAAGACTCTCCTATGATGAGCTTACAAGTGGAAAACGACATGCGCAGACTCTTTCATAGTGGCGAAGTGGTATACAGACAGTGTTTCCGAACAGAAACTTTTTTGTGATGAAATTAACCACCCACTGCTGCATAATTTCTCTTTTCTCTCAGTTGGAGTAACTTCGAGTAGTGGATTATTATCTCTGGTATTTCATTACTTGAGGCTCTCTACTAAAACTTTATGAGATGGCAAAGTTGATCGGTCCCCTTCATAATTTTTTGTGTACATAATTATCTCGGTGGCAAACTGTATTCATTTTTAGGCTGCAGCGCTTTGAGAACTTCGTCAACGGGCCGCTTACTCGTCACCGGCGGCGTTGAGGGACAAGTGCGGGTGTGGAAAATTGAGCCGTATCGGCAAAGTTTGATTGGCGTACTAAAAGATCACTCGGGTCCAATATCCTCTTTGGACTTTAATCATTTGGATACGGAGGTTATATCTGCGTGTGTTGATGGCTCCTGCGTTATTTGGGATGTTAAGTATGCGAGAGTCTACTATTGTACAACAACCAATGAATTTCATTAAAATATGCCCGCCTCTTTTGCAGTCGCATGACCCGTAAATTTGTCGTCACCTCCAATACACAGTTCATGTGCGCACGTTACTTTCCAACCGGTGTACAATTGCTCGCCTGTGGCTCCGATGGACGCATTAGCTATTGGATGGTTTACAATGGCAGTTTGATACGTGAACTTCATGGGACGAAAAAGAATTCAATTAACTTTTTGGATATTAATGCAACTGGTGATTACTTTTTAACGGTATCGAGTGATCAGACTGTTAAGGTTGTGTGCTTAAATGAGATTTTTGAATTTCTTTTTTTTTGGTTCCAAGTGTTTTGGTTTTCATTTTCAGATGTGGGATTATAATCGTGGCATAACTGTTTGCGCCGGTTACGAGCACTCCTCGCCGGTTTTAAGCTGTGCGTTCAGTCCCAATGGCAGGTTGTTTGTTACCGGCAGCGTCGATGGTGCAATTATTATATGGGATGTGCCAGAGGTGTGTTGTCCATGCTCAAAAAAAATTACATACTTATGTAATAATATATTTTTTCATATTATATACAGGAGTTTTGGGGTAAACCGAATCCACCACAAACATTGGCCCAGGAAACAGTTGGTAAACCCGAAGCACAACCTGTGCCGGCCACACCGAAGAGCGCGAAGCAGGAGAATATTGATAACCTTTTAAAGAGCTCGGCGAAGGATAATGTCTGCTGCGTCGAATGCCCACCCGTTAACATGAAGAAACAGCCGGATATCAATTGCGATTATATACCGGATATAAAAAAATGTTAATATGTATATTTATGTAAATTTTTTTGTCGCCTGATAATTTCGATAAATACATATATTATATATTTTAGAGATTTTTAAGTAACCATTTTATTCGTCTTCATAGCCTGTTTCTGGTAACGGGTTGGTATGTGGGTTGTGGAAAAATGATTTTACTCCATCGCCCCAGGGAAAGGGCTTGTCGCGCTTATACAAATGTGGCCATTTTTTGAATTCTTCGCGCTCTTCATGAGTTCTTGTGGCAAAAACTAGTACATTGAGCGCCACGACTGCCGGTATGACGCCGAATAAACAGATTTTTCTAAGCGCCCCCGCCGTGCTGCTGCCTGCAAATAAGAAATGTGGCAATGAGTACGAAGCAAAACCAGTAAGTAAGTGTTCAGAATTTTTGTGGGTTTTAAAATTTTTTTATCTAAACAAAAAAAAAAAAAAGTCGAAATACAAAGTGTCGCCATTTCTCTCCATCGGATATCAAATTGTTGATGCCTTCCTCGAAGTATTGTAGTATTCCACTAACCTTCTCGTCACTTCTATACCTCCTTCTTTACCGTCTCGTAAGTTCAAAAGCTTTTTCAAATCACGTGCAGCTTCAAAAAGGTAAGGAGGTAGTAATCTGAAAGTGCTAGATTAGGGGTATGAGCGAGATGGCCAAAGACATCCCATTAAAATGTGGCGAGCAGTTTCCTCGTGGTGTCATGCAGTAGAAAAACTCCTTTTGTCTTACAATTCATAACTTTACCTCAAACTGAGGTTTTCTCTTCCAAAGGGACAAACCGCCGATGTCGCACTTGGTGTAACACTGGATTGACATCGTGTTCGAAACCCCAGCCGGTCTCGTTGCAAAGAGGAAACGTCTGGCTACACTTCCGTGTTGACAACATAATGAAAATAAGATCCATTCGTCCAGGCGACCATCTTACTTTCTGTATATGCCTTTTATATATTTCAGTACAAGTGAACAGCTTAAAGTATTATGAGACGTGACCCACCACGAGTAATACTATTATGCAGTTGATATTCGAATTTAAATCGTTTTTACACTTTATTTGTCTCTAAGCCGTCATAAAGGTATGTTGTAACTGGGTGCTTGGGTATGGAAAACGTGTATATACTCGTAGCTTCCATGTTTCACCAGTTAATTAAGCAAGCGATGAAGCGTGCCTGACACTGGAGTGCGACTCTTCAGTGGTTAAAAAAACGAGACAAAAGCGGATCCAAACTTTATATAACCTCAACTTCAGATCAGTCCGAGCTCTGACTGAATCACAGAGACTTCAAGCATGCATTAGACAGTTGATCTAGCTGACTGTACCAAGTGCGGCATCAAGCTTAATGTCTATAACTCCAAAATCTAGGTTTAGTTGTTAGTTATTAAGGGACTAAATCATGCTGACTTGGGTCCTGAGCCAGCCAACGCGAATTATTCAGTTGCTTGTCTCAACGAATAGGCCGGATGTAAGGAACACTTAAAATGCTGAATTAGCATAAATAGTAGACTCAAAGAAAACTTAGCATCCTGTTGTTGTTTGCTGTATGCAAATCTCCGTGGCTTGAGTCACAGAACCAAAGGGGGGACGATATAGCTAGAAGGGAAAAAATTCCAAAGTGGGATCAAACAGGCAACGTCTTGTACAGTACCTTGTTGTTTGCCTGCTAAACAGGACCTCCATTAGCGTAGCAACCGGTCACTGCCTGTTGAGGAGTTGTGGTAGAAAAGAATTACTTCTGCAACATACCAATCTTCCGCTATCTTCCAGAATTTGCTTCAACAACTTCGGAGGTTTCATAAGAGCTCTAAATGGTTTAAGCATCCAGGAAGGATCATAAGATCACCATTCGTATCAGCCAGCACGTTAAAATGTGCTTGGTTAGGGTTCCGCGATGAACTTAACAATTAACTAACTAACCATCATTCTGTTGGGACTCCTGCTATAACAGTTACTTCTGTGAGTAGATAAGCCCGGATCCGGTGGTAGTTAGCTAGCAGAACTACATTTTGTATTTCTAGACCCAATGTTACATGAGAAAAGAAAGGAATAAGGCTGGCTAGCTGATATGCCTTACTTAGCCCTTTCGTCCGTTGTAGTGCTAGATGAACGGGATATAATGGAGAGTACTTTTGCTTCTGATGGCAGTATACACTCAGTTCCTACACTTGCCAAACCCTTGCTACGTTAACAACCTTTGTATAAGATACAGGTTACGACTAAAGGAGATGAAGCTGCAGTGGAGCCACTCCGACAAAATTCCGGAAGTCTAATTCCGGAGTCCTGGAGTCTGTAAATGTTTGAAGGATTACAATTTCATGGCATGCAACCGGAAACTCCAGTATATCTATTGGGAAGCTGCCACAGCGCAGCTGGTTGATGTCCTCGGAAAGGTAGGTTCTTGTGTTGCCTTATAGCGAAGGCCTCAGCTTGAAAAATACTAAATGAAAATGGTAGTGACAAGATCTAGGCGAGCTTACAATCTTCTTTCAGAGTTGTTTGGTCAAAAACGCTATAATCCCGAACGGAGTACTGCTCAATAAGAATCTAAAGGGAGCACCTCCAGGCTGAGTGTAGAAGCATGACCGAGGAACTTAACCCTGGCCAAACATTCCTACCAAACTTTGTCAGTCACACAATCGGAAAATTTAGAAGGATTTTGAAAGAAAGAGTTAGAGGGAGAAAAGCAGAATAAAGGAATTTACAAACATAAACAATTATATTAATTAGAAAAACACAATATCAAAAACTTTAGGCATACCTTTAGTTGGTGGCTTCTTCTTCGCCTTGCAACTGGGTTCCCTTCCCGGGCCACCTAAGCTTTCAGCTTTCTTGCCATCGGTTGGTGTAACGCCGCCACACTTCATAGCTTTTGCCTCCTTCCCATCCTTGCTATCCTTTCCAGCTTTTCCATCTTTGCTTTCCATGGCAACCTTACAGCCTTTTTCATCTTTACTGCCTTTTTCATCTTTCCCAGCTTTTCCATCTGCGCCACCTTTATCACCTTTTTTATCAGCACATAGATCGGCTTTCTTTTTCGGTGAACATTTGGAATCACCTTTACCGTCTTTGCCTTCCACAGGACCTCCTTTAATGGTAGAATAACGCAATGGTACCGTTAAACGTCGTAGAACGTAGAATTTTGCAACGTGATACATTTTTCCTAAGAGTTGAAGTTTGTAAAATTTTTCTGAAAAAAATTGACAACAAAATGCATCAGAAACTGAAATGTGAAATTGAAATGAAGCACAAAGCTTATTAACCCACAAAGAGCCATGAAACAATAAAGAATGGAATGTATTCGTTTACTTATCAAACCGACTGGCTGACTAATAATAACCATGAATGTTAAAGTGCTCAAGAGTAGTCAACCGCACAAAACTATCTGGCTAAGGCTGTCCCTAACCGCGACTTTTGGTTAGTCGATTCTTTAACAGGCTCTTTATTTCTGAAGTCGATAGTTAGCCGATCTCCGCTCCGTGGCCAAAATTTAGCTTACCTAAAATCGTCTGTGATTCCATGAAGGAGATCCGCCAGTGGGCACCGCTTACGCGATGATTGCCGAATCAACAATAGCGCGCCATTCGTTTCTTCATTTCGCTGTTCGGCTTCAACTGGAAATACCAAGTGAAACCAGATCGCTCTCCACCTAATGCTTTCAACGGAGTGGAGGTATTTCACAACCTCTGTTTCTATCGGCGGGTACTGCATCGCATATTATCAAAACTGAAGCGCTGTCATTCATATGGACAACATGGCCTTGCCAGCGTAGACCCTTTTCTTATTCTCTGAACTATATAAATGTCACCGTATATCATAAATCGTTCGTAAAACTTTTCACTCAAAGACTCCTAGGGCCGCCTCTTCGGATGCCGACATCGTTCACGGTTCTTAGTTTGGTTTTGGCTCGTAGAGAGAGGATCTTACTTTTCAATTGTCCACTCAGTCCAAAATAGCACCTGTTGACTAGACTGATTCTGCATTGCATTTCATCGCTAACTTAACCTAATTGGAGAAGTATATATGTATTACATATACATATGTTGAATAAAATGGAGCTTTTACATAACTGTATCGATTTTTGGCCTACAAATTGGGATAGGGATCTTAATAAATATTATGCCAGCAGAGAATAGAGTCTTTCAATTTGAGAGAAGAAATAAATCTAAAAAGCTTTTGAATATACGGTAAGCATTTATATCTACCAGAAAAATACCCGGAACCCCTGGGTGCGAACTCTGCACTGCGATTTAGGTCACGTGAGGGTTTTCCCCCTGCTTTCTTCTTAGACACGAGATATAGTCGACCCTGAATTTTGGAAATGAAAGAAATATACAGTGATGCTAAAATCCTCATCAATTTCGAAGCCTCAGCGCCGAACTAAATAGGTGTACTCGTGCAGTATAGAGCTTATAATAATGTATTATAGAAAGGTGGGGAAGGTGATTTGGTTATTGGCGAGTATCATGGGGAAACTGTTCGAGAAGGTTCTATATACTAGCATGAAAAATGGGAAAATGTTGGGAAACGAGGTATTGGAGTTTTGGAGAGAAACGTTAATGGACCCCTGCACATTAGCGACACTGTCAAAAATAACCCCGCAACGATTTGAATACTTGGACGCAGATGAAAAAGCTACAAGACTGTCAGAACTCTGTTTGAATGTCGTTCAGAAAATCTACTGATGTCGCCTGCACATTATTTCCATTGGGAGTCAACCATACTTCCACTTACACGTAAGAAACATAATATTACGAGTATACCGTGCAAGCAGTGGGATGCTATCGCAGCTTTCATCCTTGCAGATGAATGTTAGAAGCCCAACCACCCCCAAAAACATCAGGAAAAAATTAGTTGACTTTATGGTCTACATTCAGCAGTTTATCACAGGTCCGCTGGACACAACAAGATACGCAACTGGCTCTAAAGGCGGTTCACACAGAGTCTGTCAACACCTCCATCTTTCCTCCAACTCTCTTTATGTGAATTACCCAAGTAATAGTGACACAATTGAGGTCTGGTTATCGTAGTATTTTTTTATTCCTATTCCAATTTACTTAGATTCGGCATCGACAACCCTCACGTACATATGACCTGCTTGCATAGAGCTCGCGCACGACACTAATCACCCGTCGCTCCCTCACGTAACACCCCCTCCCTCTGGCCGAGTCCCTAGAAATGTCTCGACCAAGAAGGTCTTACCTTAGATAAATACATCGCATTCGACTAAATTTATCTGTTTCTTAATCGGATGGATCAAAACTAGACAGCTGTGACAACCGGATTAATTTAGGGATTTTTAAGAGGAGCTGACAGCTATATATGACGCTGCTAATGATCTAATTGCACTCTCTGTGAATTGTATCTATGGCTAGCTAGCAATAAGAGACCTTATTTGGGGACACCGGCAGGAGTTGCAGAGAGGAGGAAGAACTTTAAACCTTTGCGAATGGACAACACTTTGAAGAAGTAAGTGCAAGGCTCTAGTGCCGGGTATTTCTGATATGAAATAAAAGCTCCTCATAAAAAAACCATCAGCCGTTCGAAGAGGGCTTAGTATAAACTGTAGGTTCCTCCATTTGTTGGAAACGACGCAATACAGTACTCTCTACGCTATTTCTACTGAGGTTAAATACCTAGCAATATTCCCCGGAGTCGCAACCGGGTAGAAACGAGTAGTAAATCTATATCCGTGTTCTAAGCTTGCTTGGCCAACACTAGACAAGGCTACTTTCAAAAGCAAGCTGAACAAAGCTCAGTAGTCGGCTCAGTATTTTGCCTGCGCTGTCCTAAACTCCTATAAGCTCTTGGAATTTTGATTAATTTTCTCCCGGTAGATCGAAAATTTTCTTGCGAGCTGTAACGTCATAAGACTGCTTCAACTAGAGTATATGCGAAACGTCCGTGGTTAGAGTACCTGGCAATTTACGGGGCAGACGAGCTGTTTACGCTAAACTCTGTACATAACGCGAGCATACTTCTTTCCTCTGAAAAGTAGCCTTCACCAAAAATGCTAGCAAGAGATGGTAGAGTGAAACCACGAGCAATGTGACAAAAATTTTACTTTCATGACGTAACTCCTTCTAAAAAGGAGAAGGATGGACTGTTTCTCTAACAATTTCTGACGCAGCTGTAAGGACATATATAGATGTGGAGGGACCGTTGCAACATTATCTCTACCATTGCCAGCCCTCAGCACAGTCCGTTATCGTTTTATCGATAACTTCAACTTCGATTGCCTTGCAGAACTGGATGCGTCCATAATCTTCGGAATTTTATAAACATCCGGAAAGGTGAGACGAATCTCTTTCACAGGCCCAACATAGGTATGGCAACTGACCAATAGGCCTAAGTGCGCTTGATCAGGGTTCTGCGATCTCTTTAACTAACTTACTAAAATTTACCGTTACGCACGATAAGAAGAACCCAATGAACTTAGTTACCATTATGAATTGTTTTCAAAATTATTCTTTACAATACTTCCTTCCAGTGCTCTTAAGAGCACTCCTCCACTAAGAGAATTTCAAATTTACTGGCGAGTAGAATCTCTGTTTATTACATACAGCTGGAAGAGAGTGCTTGCTCAACAATAACAAAGCCGGCCAGTTTATTATTCGTTTCATAGACACCAAGTTAAACGGACGTGAGTTTAGTTCTCAACAGAGCTTGGCAGGTAATAAGTTGGACAGTGAAATTTCAGTAGCCGCGGCTAATTCTATGTGAACGCTGAAAAACTATATTATATTAAATAGAAGGAAATTTTTATTTGAAATAAATAAAAAATTATAAAAAATCTCCGCATTTAGTTAAATACCAAAGAAGAAAAGAAAAAACAGGGAAAATCAATATTTCACTGCGAAGACAAAGTGTTTTGTGCTGAATTGGCGGTGTTTTTGTTACATATGTATGTATGTATGTATGTTAGTGCGGCAGCTATTTGTGCATAGTAATCACTTATGTAGCGATAACCTCACTTGGTTGAAAACATATATACATATATGCACATACATATTTACATACAAACATATTTGTTTTTATTGTATATTTTCGGTGCTTTAGAAGATGTCACTGTGAATTTTATTTTCCAATTAGATTGGAGAAATTTCGTGCATTGACACTGAAAATTGATTTAACTTTCATTTATTTTCCACTTCTATTTTTTTTTTGCAGCATAAAACCTTTTAATAAGAATCTGCTATCAAGAAGTCGTATCGCGTATTAGAAGAACGCGTCAGAGGCGAGATGGTCACTGTCGGTGTACCCATTTCAAGCCGCTTGGCTTATCTATTGCGATTGAGTGTTGTTTTGATTTTATTTAGTTTTGCGTCTATCGATAAGGCCAATGCATTGGGTCGATTCCGTAATGGACGTTACGATGATGGATTTCTAGGTGAGCCGAGCAAATTTGAATCACTTCGTCGCAAACCCGAACCAGAAGATAAATGGTTTGTACAGAAGTTGAATCATTTTGGCGAGAAAAATAAGGATGCCACATGGAAGCAGGTAATATAGAGTGTTGATAATATATTCTAATACTCGTACATATAAATATGTATCCCTATCTCATACACAGCGCTACTTTGTTAACGACGAATTCTATCGCAATGACAGTACAGCACCAGTTTTTCTCATGATCGGCGGCGAAGGTGAGGCATCGAAACGTTGGATGTCGGAGGGTGCATGGATTAAATATGCTGAGCATTTTGGTGCACTTTGTTTCCAGCTGGAACATCGATTCTATGGCAAGAGTCATCCCACAAGGTAGCTATAAGGATAAGAAGTCGATATGCAGGACTTTATTATTTTTCGTATTAATGATATATATCTTTTTTTTTTCCTTATTTAGCGATCTCTCTACGAAAAATCTTTTATACCTGACTTCTGAACAGGCACTCGAAGATTTGGCCAACTTTATACGCAGCATGAAGGTCGAATATAAGATGGATGCTAATCAGAAATGGATCGTTTTCGGTGGTTCTTATCCTGGTTCTTTAGCTGCTTGGGCGCGTGAAAAGTTTCCCGATCTTATACATGGTGCTATTAGTTCGAGTGGTCCGCTATTGGCTAAAGTCGATTTCAAAGGTATGGAAAATATGGACGGGATAAATTTATAGGGTACGGGGCACTTTTCCTCCTTACGCATCGAATACTCTGAAAGTGGTAGCGCGCCTACCCGGACGAATTCGCCTAGTCAGCGTAGCCACGTTCACTCAACCCGTCCTATATCTATACAGCTATCTGCGGTGTCTGCTGTCGCTAACGATAATAAATCTTCTGGAAATTATTTCCCTAAAAGACTCCCAACATCCGTGCTTTTGCACCATAACCTAGTTTAATCTTTGTTTGTCGAGAGAGTACCTAACTTTTTATTTAACTACTCAGTCTACACGGGTCTTACAGGATTTGTCACGTGGTCAATCAGTGGTTTCGTTTTTCCCAGGAAAGTTCTAAACAGCGGATATGCGGACACACGGTTTTATAGTTTGGACTTGACGTGAAACCATTATCCTTAGACCAGTTTCGCTCTATGTGTAAGATATTTTTAAGTGGACCATTTAGAATTTGGTTGCTTCAGATGTGTGAGTAAAATCATCTGAGGATACAAGAACGCAGTGCTTATCTGTTTCTGGATAAGTTTATTTACTGTGAAACATCATATGTGCCGCTCATCTCATCTTAGGAGGTCAGGATAACACTCATATAACTTGTTGAAGAGATCTTATTCAAGCCTCTCGAAAGTCGTTGTTAAAACCTATCTTTTCGTTGACAAAACACCTTGTGGTGCATTCCTTTAAAACAAGTATTTTCTTCATGAATTTGCTATTAGAGTACATAGCCAGTTCCTCGAGAAGCTCTGGGGTAGTTTCTACGGCATGTACTCGTAGAGGTTTAGCAGACTTCACCACAAATGCCATCGACTTTTTGAACATTGCTAATACGAGTATAATAGAATAAATTAATTATTATTAATTAAATAAAAATATTTAATATCTTTTTTAGAGTACTTCGAGGTAGTAAAAGCCTCTTTGGCCACGTATTCCGCAGAATGTCTAGAAGCTGTCGGACGCGCTTTTGCCCAGGTAGAAATTCTAACACGTCACATGATCGGCCAACGCAATTTGGATGAAAAGTTCAAGTAAGTAATTTTCTAATATAATTTAAATACTATTATTGAATTTATTAATATTTTAGAACTTGCACGCCAATCAAAGACTCCATTGACAACCCATTGGATATGTCTAACTTTTTCGAAACTTTGGCTGGCAACTTTGCTGGCGTTGTGCAGTATAACAAGGACAATAGGCCTAGCGCTAAATATACCATCGATGATGTAAGGTTTACTAAAGTATATTTACTTAAGACCGATCTATAATGCCATACATTTTGTGAATTTATTTCATATCCAACAGCTTTGCAATGTCATGGTGAATACTACAATAGGGCCGCCGGTTACCCGTCTTGGTGTGGTCAACGATATGCTTTTGATTGAATCCAAAGAAAAATGTTTGGACTACAAATATGATAAAATGATTGCGGAAATGAAGGAAACTTCATGGGAGGCTAAAGCGTGCAATGGCAGTCGTCAGTGGACCTATCAAACGTGCAACGAGTTCGGTTTCTATCAAACATCGAATAATAAGAGTGACACTTTTGGTGATCGATTCACTGTGGATTTCTTCATAAAGCAGTGCATGGATATTTACTCAGAGAGGTAAGAGAAATATTGAATAAGTAATTAATTTTTTGTTTGATGCATTATTTATATATTTTAATGAAATAAAATTTGGTTTGTTTTAAATATCATTACAGCATGAACGCCAAATACTTAGAGCAAGTTGTGGCACAAACAAATAAATATTATGGTGCCTTAAAGCCAAATACAACAAATGTGCTCTACGTACATGGCTCGATTGATCCTTGGCATGCGCTTGGCTTGGTTTCTTCAAAGAATCCCAATTTGCCCACAATTTATATTGAAGGTGATAAAACCAAACTTAAATTCTTTTATCTAGTTTCATATTTTACTCAGAATTTTATTTAAAAAATATTTTATTTTTAACCTTTAGGTACTGCACATTGCGCCAATATGTATGAGCCTGCTAAAACTGATCCGCCACAACTCGTTGAGGCACGCAATAAAATTATTAAATATTTGGCACAGTTGTTGGAGGGTTTCAAATTGGAAAAATCTTAATCACCAGAATATTATTTTATTTTTATTGCAAGCAATTAATTAATTACTTATAGTTTGTTATTTTTGAGAAAAGAAGAATAAGAAAGAAACTCGAATGTTATGAAGGAGTCACTATCGAATATCTGTATGTATCATAAATATATTTTTTATATAAATAAAGGATGGGAAAATGAATTTTGTTGAATATAGACAGCAAGCCTGTATATATCTCTTTACTGCTATTGTATATTTGGATTGTAATTGGAGTACGAAATTGGAAGAAAAGTAAATACTAATTTATATATATTCGCATACTAAGCATTTACATATTGCAATCATACAAACAAAGAACGAATTTAATTCATTCATTCATTCTGTTTCGAGTGGGAGAATTGAATTCCGTAATCTTTACTTTTGTTGCGGACAGAATTTTTTCTTTATGTTTGTCTTGGCTTGAAACAAGACCAAAAGGCTTTTGAATTTTTTTCACCTTTTTTAGTTGTTCGGTCAGATTGAGCATGATAATCAGGGTAAATTCATGTCCAATTAAATAGAAATAGTCATCTGGCAACAGTGGCTCGAAACGGTTCTTTTACATATGATTAAGCAGCTTAAACTGAGTATCCTCTGGGTAACTAACAAAAATCCTTTCGGACTCGAGCTAAATTGAGAAGACTACTTTCTCTGTGTTTTTGTTGTTGTTATAGCAGCTATCTATCCCTGCTAGTAGGCGAGACTAGTCTAAGTAATGGAGATCATCTAGATCGAGGGTCCAGGAAACGAGATGTTTCGACGGGTTCGGAGGGAAAAGGGAGTTGGATGAGTAGGTTTTGTGGGAGATACAAATAGATGGTTAGTGTCGTGAAGAGTTTACGTTGAGTCTAGATAAATATGAATTAAGTCGACTGCAGCATCCAGATCTTGGTGCCGGTTATACGCTCCGGAGTTGACCCAAATTTTTATTCGGCCGAGTAATAGGACTTTCACTCGCGTAATATTCCCGAAAAACCAATGCGGAGAATATTTTGCGTAGCGCTTGGAATTCACCATATAAAAACTCTGCTTCAATGGAAGCACAATATAATACCTAGGATAAGAGACCGCCTTTTTGTGACCACACTGCAAACGTAGAATATCCGGTTACTTTATTAGAGGGGCACCACTGCCTAACTGGCTGAAGTTCACTTAAGACTAAAGGTCAACCTCACTGCCATCCAAGAATTGCGATGGATGGAACTCGAACAAACGTACTGAGGATGGTCAATTTCGCTGTTGTTTCGGAATACGGCATATAGACGTCGAAACAATCACTTTTGTATTTTGAGAGCACTTATCACGAACTCGTTATAGGGTAACTATGGAACGGCAATTTTAGCTCTCTACACACTGAAACTACAGAAACAGTGTACCTGGGGTAGATATCGGGAACTCTGAAGAGGTAGCCAACAACTCATTTTCAGATAAAAACAGAAAGATTTGGAAATATGAATACGAAGAACTTGAGAAGTTGGCCGACAGGGGTAATGACTGAAAATTCTACGAAATGATGCTGTGTTTACAGGGGGTTTCGAAATCGGAGCATACTTTTGTAGAAACCAAAGAGGTAATCTGGTGACCGCTGTCTAGCGCACACTGAGTTTGTAAAGGAAACACTACTCCAGCCTACCGAATGGCAGTGAACGTGCAACACCCGGGTATGCTAAGCCCGAATCACTGATAACGTCCCCATACCAGATCATGACAAAATTCGATTAGCAGACAATAAAAATTTTAGCTGATATTAAGTGACTCCTCCAGCTGGTAGATGCTGAAGATGAGGCAAACCTACATGCCAGAGGTATGATAGAGAGTCTACTCTCCAAATGGGTACAATGAAAGGCTTAACATAAGTATCTGCATCTAAGTAGATCATATAACTACGTATGAAGTGCCGATTCTAATAACTTTAGCATCTTGATATTCGCTTTGTACCAGAGAATGTGTGCAAGTTTTGGTTTAATATTAAAATTTCAGACAATATAGAACGGAAGAATTCTTCATCTTTATCAACCTGTGCCAAAACGAATATTTCTTATCTCCTTTTACTAATTTTTTATTAAGAGTAAACCCTTCACGTATAAGAGATTATATAACACTTGCAAGTCTGCTTGTATTGAGAGAATATTTTAAATTGTTTTGTTGTAATCTTCACGTTGATATTTTATAAAATTGCATTATTTCGTTGGCAAGAATCAATTGGAATGTTAACGCAAAACGAGGTACACAATAAGAAGAATATTTAATATAAATACTTAATTTTTATTGCTATTTGCTATCTGTAAAAAAAAAAAATAAAACTGAAATATAATAGAATAGAATGAAAAAATACACTACAATGAAATGAAATTAATTTAACTAATATAATATTAAATAAAAAAAATAAATAAAACAAACAAAATATTAAATACAATAACAGAATTAAAACTAATAAAAATTAATTCGAATTAAATAAACTATAATAAAAAATTATTTGATATTAATTAAATAGAAATGAAATGAAAAAAGAATAAGAATAAATAAAACCAAAACAAAATAAATTATAATAAAAACAAATAAAATTAAATAAATATAAAATAAGAGAAAGTAAAATAAGTAAAAAAAATATAATAATATAAAATTAAAATCAAAAAAAATTAATTATTATAAAAACAAATAAAATTATATGAATATAAAATAAGATAAAAGAAAATAAAATAAATAAGAATAAAAAAGAGAATAAAGTAATATAAAAATAAAATATAATAAAATACATTATAAAAATTATGATAAAAAAATAAAATTAAATTAATATAAAATAAAAAAATAGAATAAAACAAGATAAAATAAAACAAAATAAATTAAATGAAAGAAAATAAAATAAAATATAAAATAAAATAATTGAAATAAATTAAATAAAAATTAATTCGAATTAAATAAAATAAAATAAAACTAAAATTAAGTTAAATAGAAATAATATGATGAAATAAAATAAGATAAAATAAAATTAATTTCAAGAAAATAAACAAAATGCATTACAAAAATTATAATAAAAGCAAATAGAATTAAATAAATATAAAATATAATAAAAAATAAAATCAAACAAAATTTATTATAATAAAATAAAATTAAATATAAAATAAAATAATTAAAAAAAAATAAAAAAGGAATTAATTCAAATAAAATAATATATACAAAAAAACTAAAACTAAATTTAATAAAAATGAAATAAAAAAAGAATAAAAATAAATAAAAAAACAAAACGAAGTAAATTACAAAAAAAAAAATTAAATCAAAAAGAAAATAAAATAGATTTAAAAATCAATCATTTAATAAAAAATCAACAAAATAAGCTACCAAATTTAATATAATAATATAATAATAATATTTTATTTACTTTTAATAAAATAAATATAAAATAAAATATTTTTAACTTAATTATTAGCGATTAAAAAATAATAAAATAAAAATAAATTGAAATAACTAAAAATTTAATATTCTAAAACTAAAAAAAAATATAAAATTCTATGTAAAAAATAATATTGAAATAAAATTAAATATATATTTTAGCTAATATCTAATAAATAATTACAAGTAAAATAAATAAAAATTAAAAAAGAGAAGTAAATAAGAATAAAGAAATAAATAAATAAGAATAAAATACTAAATATTTAATTAAATAAAAAAATAAAATAACAAAATTAAAATAAAATAAAATAAAATAAACGAAAAGAAACTAAAACCTGTTGAATTAAATAATTGGTTCTTTTTTAGCTTTAGAGTGAAAAAATAAAGAATCTAAAAATATCTAAAACACCACTTGAGCCAACAGTACGCAGTGTGCATATTGACGAACAGCGCTTATCAAATGAAGTCTGCTGCGGTATTCTTGTTAATATTTGTTTTAATCAATATTGTTTACTCCAATGAGTTGAGTCAATACCAAGATGACCATCCTTCTAGTGGCGAACCCAGCAAATTGAATTTAGCGAACAAAACGTTAGAGCCGGAAGAAAACTGGTTCGAGCAAAAACTTGATCACTTTAACACCATTAACGAGTATATAATATGGAAACAGGTGAGAAATTGAATTTAAATGCATTTTTGTCTTGGTGTATATATTTGATTTGTTATTAATTCACTAATTAATTTTTTTTACCTTTTGCTTAGCATATTCAATTTTATTTTGCAAGAAAAATATCCACTTTGTAACTGAAATCACTTAATTTTCTTAAGGTTAGGTTATAAGATTTTAAATCACTTTGTAAATTTAATTAGATTTATGAAGCAAACTAATATTTTCGCTTAACTTAAACTAGTGATTTTATAAACTAGTATGAGACTAATATATTTCTTACCGATACCGATACTAGTGATTTTATAAACTAGTATGAGATATATTTATATATATATTTCTTACCGATACCGTAGAATATCAGCATGCTAAAAACTTACTATTTACTCTTAGAGAAGAAAAGCTAATTAAAAATGACTGGCTTAATAGTGAAGATACAATTAATATTGGTTCATATTCAACATAGCCTTTTGAGACTAGTATAGTATATATAGGTATAGTATAGGAAATTTATTGTAAGAAAATTAGAAACTAATAACCTAAAAAGGACATATATATAAATATAATATAAATAAATATTTTTAAAGCCAGGTTTTTAATTAGATACATTTTTAAATATATCTAAATTATTGTAGATTCAATGCAGTTCTAACCAACACAACATACGCGTTCATAAAGCGGAGATTATTTGCTACTGGGTATAAATGATCAGCATAAATATTTTCTAATGATTTATTTATGTACTTAAAATCAATTATTTATATGTTTCTTCATTAGTACATTATTATTTACATTTAATTAGTTCAAACTGATTACTTATTTCATTATTTACACTCTTCTTGTTGTCTTTAGAGATACTTCATGAATGATAAGTTTTATCGGCATAACAGCGATGCACCAATTTTTCTCACTATTGGCGGGGAACTGGCAATATCCTCGCGTTGGGTGACAATGGGTGCTTGGATCGAATTTGCCGAACATTTTGGTGCGCTGTGTTTTCACTTAGAGCATCGATTCTATGGAAAAAGCCAGCCGAGAAGGTGAGGCAAAATATGTTATATATGAGGTCTGAGAGTATTTGAGGTAGTAAAACAAATAATATGCACTTTTAAGAACAAAATTCTTCAATAGTTCAGTCCTTTTCATACACTTGCTAGAAGGTGTCTGCAAAGGACTGAACTCCAATACTCAAAATCCGAGTGGGAACAAAATTTGCTCTTAAGATATGAGGCATTGGAGTGGGTTTCTGAAATTGTGTTTAGAAGACCGGATAAGGCTCTGAGTGTCACCCGCTGAAATTCTTATTTTTATTAGTCCCTTAAAATAATTATAATTGGTGCTTTATAGCCACCGAAGATATTTTCGGCCGAGCTCCTCGTCCGATTTGTGGTGAGCATCTTGATATTTTTCAACAAATAGATTGATCTACAGTTTATTCTAAGCCGTCTCCGAGAAGCTTTTATTTCATCTTAGTAATACACTTGACATATCCTGCGGAGAGACAAACGCAATTGGATAAATTATTTTACCATGGTTAAGTTGTAAATGGTTGAGCCAGCGTCAGCTTCCACCCAGAAAATTCTATAAGTTGTCGTTTGTGATGCCCAGATTTGCAGTTTCTGACGACTGAATATAAACCTAAAACTTGAGAACACTATTGGAGGCTGTCTACCAGGGATTCGGGAAGACGACACACTTATACCCAAAATCACACCACATAGCTCCACAGAAGCAGTGCGATGAAAGAGAAAGAGCTGTAATAAGAATTAATATAGCAAAGCTACTAGTACAAGATCCACCAAACTCAAGGAGTCCACCTAACAGTAAACTGTTCAGGAGGAGCGCAGATACATTCAAATTCGCTTATTTCGAGCTGATATCGAATCAAGGATACCCTCTCTTGCGAGCTCTTCAGCTTTGCAGGTATCAACAGCTTCTTGTCCTTATCGAAAATGGCTCGGCAATATAGAGAGGGAACTCAAATACTCTTAAATCAGCCTTTAACTCACCATATCACGTGTTTTGTTATTTAACATTGTTATTTTTCTATTCAAATTGTATTACAGCGATCTTTCTTACGAAAATCTTAAATATCTCTCATCGAAACAAGCTCTCGCCGACGTTGCTAATTTCATTGAAAGTATGAACCAGAAATATTCCTTAAGCTGTAAACAGAAATGGATTGTCTTCGGTGGTTCCTACCCTGGCGCTTTAGCTGCGTGGGCACGTGAGAAGTATTCCCACTTAATACATGGCGCGATCAGCTCAAGTGCACCGATTTTGGCTAATTTTTTTTTTTTTTTTTTGATTAGAGAAGTAAATATATTTAAATTTTTTTTTTTTTTTTAATTTAGTATTTGTGTTTAGAATACTTTCAAGTAGTTAAAGCTTCATTGGCAACGCACTCGGCACAGTGCGTGGAAGCGTTTGGGAGAGCTTTTGCTGTGATAGAAACTCTGCTACGGCATGAGATTGGTCGGAGAGATTTGAATGAGAAATTTAAGTGCGAACATTTATCTTTGGTTGGTGAAGATATTTAATAATTTTTTATAATTTTCGTTTAGCACTTGTACACCGATTGAGGACTCGATTGCTAACCACTTGGATATTTCGAATTTCTTTCGAAAATTGGCCGATAATATTGCAGGTGTGATACAATTTAATAACATTAAACGTCCTGATGCCAATTATACCATCGACGAGGTGAGTGAGCGTAATAAGTAATTGGTGAAAATATTGATGAGTGCATAAGTTCGTGCCCGATTCCGCCGGATGCCGTTCGAATTGTTTGAGAGTGGCGCTCGTGAAAGAAATATATACATATTATATATCGTTGGAAAGGTGACAGTCCGAACTGTAAATCAAGCATAAAGTAACTTCATTTTGATTTGAGTAGCTTAGTGAAAAGACGCATGGAAGATGGACAACGAAAAAGATCATATGCGTCATATTATGTTAAACGAATTCCGCAAAGGAAAAACAGTAGGCGCTGCAACTAAAGACATTCGCGAAGTTTATTTGGACCGTCCAGCACTCCGCACAGTAAAGAAATGGTTCGCGAAATTTCTTTCTGCAGATTTTAACCTCGAAGATCAACCTCGCAGTGGACGGCCTTCTGAGCTTGATGACGATGTTCTAAAGACTTTAGTTGCGAATAACTCACGTATTTCGACGGAAGAGGTTGCCAGTGAATTAAACGTCAACAAATCAACTGAGTTTCGTCGTGTAAAAAAGGTTCAGAACACTTTGAAGTTCGATACATGGGTGCCACATCAGTTGAGTGAAAAAAACAAAGTGGACCGTATGTCAACAGCAATTTCTTTGCTTCGACGGAAAAAAAACGAACCTTTTTTGGATCGGCTAGTGAATGGTTATGAAAAATGTTCAACGCAAAAGAACATGGAAACAGGCACACGAAGGGGCGGAACCGATGTCGAAAGGTGGATTGCATCCGATGAAGGTACTGCTGTGAGTTTGGTGGGATATCTGAGGCGTGATCTATTTTGAGCTCTTGCCAGCTGAAGAAACGATCACTGCCAACAAGTATTGTCAGCAATTAGTCGAATTGAAGAAAGCAATTGATGAAAAACGTCCTATTTTGGCTAATCGCAAAGGAGTTCTTTTCCATCATGTCAACGCAAGGCCACATGTTGCAAACCCGACCCTGGCCAAACTAAAGGAGATGAATTGGGAAATCATGCCGCATCCCCCATATTCACCCGACATTGCACCTTCTGATTATCATTTGTTTCGATCGTTGCAGAACAATTTGAATGGAAAAAAATTTAAAAATGTGGAAGACGTCAAAAAATACCTTGACACCTTTTTCAACGAGAAACCGCACGATTTCTATGAATCAGGCATCCGTTAATTGGTTGAACGTTGGGAGTGGATTGCCAAACATGATGGCGAATACATAATTGATTAATAAAAGCGCTTTCTTCAAAAAATTTGAATTTTAGTTTACACTTGAAATCGGGCACGAACTTATGCACTCATCCAATACTATTTAGGATTTTTGAAAGATTTTCATAGTTTTCTGGTTTCAGGTTTGCAATGTTATGGTCAATACAACAATTGGCCCACCAGTTGATCGTTTGGGTGTGGTAAGTGGCATACTTTTGGAGAAGGCAAAGGAAAAGTGTCTGGATTATAAGTACGAGAAAATGTTAAGTGAAATGAAGAATATTTCCTGGCAGTCGAAAGTAGCTAACGGTACACGACAGTGGACCTATCAGACATGCAACGAATTTGGCTTCTATCAAACATCGAATAATCGGAGTGACACATTTGGCGATCGATTCAAAGTGGACTTTTTCATTAAACAGTGCATGGATATCTACTCGGAGAGGTAGATTATTATTTTTTATTTTGATTAATTTATATATATATGTGCATTATATTGCAGTATGAATGCCACGTACTTGGAACGTGTGGTGGCAGAAACCAATAGACAATTTGGTGGCCTCAATCCCAATACAACAAATGTGCTTTACGTACATGGCTCGATTGATCCATGGCATGCGCCCGGTTTGACCTCAACTAATAAACCGGAATTGCCGACTATTTTTATTGAAAGTGTGAGAAAAGTTTAATATATTTATAAATATACATATACTAAAATATGATTTCTTCCATTTGCAAGGCACCGCACATTGTGCCGACATGTATTCATCGGCTGAAACCGATCCACCACAACTCACCGAGGCGCGTAATAAAATCTTTAAATATCTGGAGCAGTTGTTGGGTAATTCATATATAGAAATATCATAAGAAAATACTGTTAAATTTTTTATTTTCGCATGGATTATATTATGGAAAAATGGAAAAATGCACAAAAGTGAAAACGAGAAGACAGATATTAATGATGTTTTTCGAAGAGAGTAGAGAGCAATTCCGTCGATTAGGTTAATGTTTCCCACTGTCAAATCACTAGAGAGCTGTTCTTAGCGTTTATTATTTTTAAATTTAAATTTTTTAATAAATATTATTTTTTATTATAATTCAATTCGTTTTATTTATAAATACAGTCCTAGAAAAGTGAGGTGCATTTTGCTTTTTTTCATGAAAAAAGTTTAAGGACAAATACAAAAACGGTATTTTATCCTAAAATTCTGTTGCGTAGGAAAATTTTTTTTTATATACATAATTCATTTATTTACTGGATCTGCTATAATATTATTTAAGCCGAACAGTGAGTGTTAAAATCTAAATTACAAACATGATAGCTCGAGTTGTTTTACTCTGAGCCCTTTTCAAACTACGGTGCTCTCCTTTGAAGGCGGGAACATTTCTTCGCTGCAGGCGGGAATTTCTCGATGGGTTGCATAGCGGATTTGGATGATTTCTTAGCTTTGTGAAGTGCTCCGTCCTGCTTCTTTCAATTTTAGGCTTAACCAGTAGATCGTAGGAAATTGAGTGGGAAGAGTGTATTATTACCTCAGTTTTTATTTTTTTGAGGTCTAAATATGATTCTCTCTGAAAGATATTTGAGTCTTTCATTACTAATCCAGCCAATTAACATATGCACGCAGACGACAAAAAAGTACTTATCGGTAAAAAGAGAAATCGCCATGATGTATAGATTATCCCTGACATCTCGGCAAAAGATACATCGCGCCTCCTTTTTTAGGTCGGGTACTTTTCAGACCATGTACTAAAATCAATCAGTAAAAGATATTCACGTTGCCGATTCAAGTCAAAGCAGGCTAGAAAAATGTCCTTTCCGCTTGAAGAAAGCAAGAAACCTTTCTCACAAAAAAGAAAACTTGTATGTTCTCTAATGATATTGTGGCCGATTAGGAGTCTTCAAGGCTAAAGACTAGTCGACCGATGTTGGCGTTCCTCTTAACATATCAGCTTCAAATCTCTTCTCTCTGACGGAAATCGTTACGGGAACATCTAAGAGGGTCGTATATTTTGAAGTTTTTTCTGGGTGAACACAATAAAGGGGTCTAATGTGTCTAGATGATCTTAAAGGGATGGTTAAGTTAAGCCCGCTAAGTAGGGTAGGTAACAGCTCTTATTAATTTAGTTTAAAATAAATATTAATCAGCTCTCGTAGCCGTAAGGATGATGTCTTGAAAGAACCCAAAAAATACCCTTGACGGTGATCTCCATTTCGGATTATCCAAAACCAAAAAATAATCGCGGTGAATCCTTTAAATCATAGATTAATGAAGGCATAACACGAAGGAAGAATAAAGAAACGTGTGCAGGACATCAAATTTTGCACTCTTAGATATTTTTTTTCACAAATGTTTGTTTGCATACAGACAATACTGGCAGACGGGCCCAGCTAAACCAACTAAACTTCTCATTCATATAGGTAAAAATTTCGATGGATTTATCTCTTCTCCCTTCTTCTTTTATTTACCTCGGAATAAAGTTTATATGCCATTTCATGTGAATTAAGGGTATACTAAAGAGAGGCCGAAATGTGTGAGCATGAAGCGATTGAGGAACTGATCGAAAGGGTGGTCTGAAAATTTATTGAGCCCAAAGAGGGGATCTGGTGATCGATGTCCAGGGTATATTGAACTTATATAGGCAACATTTCTCCAATGAAAATGAAACACCCGCAGGTGGTGAACCCGAATACCAAAGAAATGACGATGAAATATATTTTTCCTTATCCGGCTATGACGAAGTCCGAAAAGTAATTACTCGCGTGAAGAAGGCCAAAGCAGCCGGAGCCGTTGGTATACCAGCTATTCAGATATGGTGTCGAAGAACTGCCGGACGACTGAAATAAATATAAGTTTGATGTAGTGCTCAATCTACAAAATACGTGAGCCCAAAATCCGCCTCAATTATCGTAGTTATATTAGTTGTAGTAAAAAGAAATCCATTATTTTTCCAATTGTGGCGTTATTTATTTGTAAACGCACTGTATAAGTCCGATCGGGTTCCGCTAGATGCCGTTAGAAAGATGATATTTCGTACTAAAAAATATGGATGCTTTTTGCTAGGCAAAGAGAAAATACGCTATATTTTACAGTTTTTCTTCGATAAGACCGAAAACGCAAGCTAGGCGACTGAAGATGTGAATAGCGCTTATGGTCCTGACACTGTTACTGTCAACCACGCGAAATTTCGGTTTCACTCCGGAAAGTTTGATGTAAAAGTTGCCTCACGAAGTGGAAGGCCAATTGTCGAAAATGTCGATAGGGACACTGTCGAGTCCGAGTCGAGTCATGCAAGCACTGTTTCGATTGCCCGAGAGCTAATGATTGCACAAAAAACTGTGTGGAACCATTTGAATAAGGCTGGATACGAAAAGTAAAAAATTAAAGCCTTCAATTTCATGCAAAAATAATGGATTACTTTTTACTACGCCTAATATAATTGACGCTTTGTAACCCTTGATACGATTTTTTTTTTTTTTTTTCCTACATTTTGTGGTTTTGCGTCTTGATGTTTTTTTTTTTTGCAGCAAATGGAGGAGTCTTTAGCATATATTCAGCCACCTAAGAACGGCTGATGGTTTTTTATGAGGATCTTTTATTTTCAAGTCAGAAATACATTCGGAGAGGTTGACATTACCTGCCGAGGGGCGACCGTAATTCGAAAATGTAACTTAATTTTTTAATATTTTTTTTTTTAATTTTCTATAACTTTTGGATGTTGTTCGTACCAGGATTCGAATCCAGGCATACCGAATAGCAATATGCAGTGATAATCACTCGGCTATTGCGACCGACGTAAGATAAGCCTCCTCAATATTGCGTATAAGATTCTATTGAGCGTATTGTGTGGAATATTAAGTCAGTCAACGAGCTGATTGAACCTAATCAGTGCAGCTTTGGATTTGGTGAATCCACCATTGATATTCAGATATCCACCATGCGTCAAATATTGAAACGATCCATGCGAAGGGATAGACTTTGAAAACACCGTTCAGAAATACTTATAGATGGTACCAAAGTAAAACTTTTTGGAAATTCAATAAAATATTTAATTATAAAAATTTTAAATTATTTATGGTACATTCGTAAGTAAAAATTTCAACTATTTTATTTGCGGGAAGAATACCATATACACGTAGGTATGTATGTATGAGTATTTAATTTTTTTTAAATTTATTTTAATAGCAAAATCAAATATGAAATAGGTTAACAAGTGTACTAAAGAAACGAAATACATATGTACGTGTATGTATGTAAAAGCTAAATTAATTAAAAAAAATGCAATGAAGAGAACAGACTAATTTTACTGCATATAAAATTCTGCATTTTCTTGTATTCATAACTATGTATGTAGTATGTGGCTGGCTGCACTCACACTCACTCCCCATTTACCATTCCTTCTTGGCCTTAGCCATTCGCTCATGCATACGCTTCCAATAAAATTGCACAGAATCATTGGCGATTACATGAGTATCGATGGCGCGTTTAGTATTAACATAAAGCCACACGCTTATATCCCACACCAGTGCAAGCACACGGAAGAGGAATCTCTCGATTTGTTCGCGATCCGGCAGACTGGGCGCGGGCACATTTTGTGTGGGGCTATTGGATTGATGTTCGCGTTTCGTATCATTGGCGTAAAAACGCACAGCGGTGAGTGTGAAGGGCGTAATTGCATTGAAGTTGATGAAGTCGCTCGGTACGCGTCCACTCACTAGAATAAAGAAATCGAACACAGGCATTGTGAAATTGCAAAACGCACAAGAAAAACACTAAATTTTATTCTATTATTACTTTGCACTAGAGTTGCACCGAAAAGTGCATGACTTACCGGTGAATCCATTGGGAATTACTGCACTGGCGAGCATCAAACTTCTATTTTGCTCCAGATTTGCCACCACACTTGGCCCACTGATTCTAGCTGCTGTTGCACTCACAAGTGTTGGCGTTATTCGCATGGATTTTGTCAGCAACATTTTGTTTATCTATTTGAAAAATAATATTTAATAATTATGATAAGAAAATTGTATATACATACATACATATGTATGTAAAAAACGACCAACAACTTACATCTGGCTTTGCTTGTGCCGGTTGGAATTGCGTTTGTTTTGACGTTGATGAGATCACTAAAAACCTTTTCAATTTGCACTTTTTCTTAATTCTGCTGCTTGTTGCTTCTGATTAAGCGCTGAGTGATTTGATTGAATATTTTGCTTCGTCGTTTTGTTGGTGCTTTTTTATTTTCTCTGCTTTTATTGGAAAAAGCTTCTGACAAGTTTAAAAATTGAGTGCTTTTTGTCGTAAACTTTTTTTCTTTGGCTTTTGTCAGTTCATTTGAATTATTTAGCTTAAAATTCTTTAGCTGCTACAATTGTTTGCTAAAAATTTGGAGAGCAATTTCGAAACTTTTTTTTTAGCAGTTATTCTTAAAAATACCCCAATTTCGAATAAAGTCCACATTAAAAATATCTGGATTATTTGAATTTTGTGGTTTCTTACTTGTATTTTTTCGGAATTCGTTCAAAGAATTTGGCTTATTTTGATAAGAAGGTTTCGTTAAGAACTTGAGCTTGAATAGGCAAGAGGTTAAGCTACTCTAATATAACCAATAAAAATATAGATTAAAATGGTTGTTTCGGATGTTCCAACGATTACTGCGAGTAGATCCATCTTTAGTCCAGCATCGTCGATAACAAATGATAATGTGGCGTTCACAAGAAGAGCAAACAGAATTTTTGCATGTCGTTTAAGGACTGTCCAGCAATTCTGTTATGTGGTGCTGAGAGTGGTCAGTTAGCTGCTTTGCACTTTACGCAGACAGCAGGTCACTCGCCACTTAACCCTTTTGCTAACTGATGGGTGCAGCTTATAAAGCCGGCTAAAATAACCCACGCACTTACTCGGCCGGCAAGATGCGGATAACAAATGAAATTTGCACGCGGTCATTGTTTATTTTCGAGACTGATTAAGATTTGAACTTGGCATAAATTTACTTCCCTGATTAGAGGACCTTCTCGATCGGCTTAGCATACACAGTCGCTCCTTGATGTTTATTCCGTCGTTGCATTTGGTAAATGTGGCCAATGAGTTGAAGTCAGTTGAAGTAAGGCGGGCACTGTAGGCGTTTTCAATGAAGCCCGTGAAGCCAGACCAATCAGTTCTGATATTTAAACATACATATATGGCTGGGGATCTTCGGAAACAGTCTATAGATATTGTTATGGTTGTAGCGATGTACCTGCCCCGTTTAGGAGCAGGCAAGATCAATCTAAGAAATAAAAGTATTACATCGCAAGGTTCATGGAACGGGCTGTTTTCATTGGTTCGGACCAGAAGGGGTGTTAGATGAGTAGGTTTTAGTGAGCACTCAAAACGGTTGTTACCGTTCTGCCGGGACTCATTTTTAGATAAGTCGACTACAAAAATCAGACCTTAGTTGTGCAAGTATTACGGGGGACTATCGGGACAGCTCGAGGTCTTCGTCTGCAATGAGTAGTGGTTTGACTCCGAGAATACCATTCACTGCCTATCGATAATTATGGGCGAATTAGCAAAGGTCGCCAACTAACCGAGTGGTTAGCATTGGGTACTGCCATTCGAAAGGCCAGGGTTTAGATTCTGGTACGACCAACATTAAAAAGTTAAACAAAAATCATTTAAATAAAAAATCAAGCTAAATTTTCTAATTACGGTCACTCCACGGCAGGGAATACCAATCCATACGAGTTTTTTTTTGACATGAAATGAAGGCTCTTTATAAAAAACTATCAGCCGTTCGGAGGCGGCTTAGGTCCTTCCATTGGAGGAGGAGCTCGGCCGAAAATCGGTTCAGCGGTTATAGAGCTGACCAGAAACTAGTTAAATAGTACCAGAACAATTAGCCATAACTTAGCTGTGGGCGTCATCGTTCATGGTGCAAAATGTTGAATTGTCTATGCCAGCTCTATGCATATTTGACAGTATAGAGTTCCAAAAATGGTGGCATACCTTCGCATACCTACAATCGCTAAACCATCAGTATGATCTCGCGATTCGTGTGTGTAATTCTCAAACCGGCAAAGCTCAGAAGATATGAGCAGCCGCAGCTGAGCTTTCGGCTCATGAAGTCAACTAATAGTTGACGATTTTCGCCTGGAATACGTTGCAGTAGAATTTACAGGAGTCTAGTCAGCCACAGCAGAAAGTTCGTAGTGCGCGACGTGAAGGAAACATATGGTGTTTTAGGTTATTGCAGCTGTTTTTATATCAAAATACTATCATTGAATCTGTTTCGTTTTTATTTACTTTATTATATATTATGTAGTATTTTGTACATTAAAACTAGAGTTATAAAATAAAATAAAAAACATCTTCTCATTAAAAAAAAATTTAAGCACTAATTATATATGATTATTATTGTTAAATAATAGCATATTAGCAAGAATACACGAGCATCACTCTAAAATAGTGTTTGCTATTTTCATTATAATAAGTAATTTCAAATAAAATTTGCAAAATGACAAAAGCAAAAATGTTTTCTTCTCGAAAATTTTAATATTCGATACGTAACACTTGTACATGGAATGGTATTGGAAATGCAAATATATTGTATATAAAGGATTTAAAAAGTTTGCTTATAAAGTATAATAATTTTAATAATTTTTCATATAAAAATTATGCAGTTATATATTTGGAAATGTGTAAAAATTACCGCTATTTCAATTGGAATGTAACTAAATAATATTTTTTTCATTAATATACTCTTTTTATTATCTTTTACTCAAAAATAAATATTTTTCTTTATTTTTTACGCACATTCAACACCTTCTTCCACTCAGAGAGTATATTATTGTCGTTAGCTTCCGATGTGAGTAGTTAAATTAGACATTTTATTATTTTTTTCCTACTTAAATATCTATACACAAGCTACAAATTTTTTTTTTTTTTCTCATCATTAATTATTATTATTATTATTTGTTTTTTTTTTTTTTTTTTGTTTTTTGATAATACTTACTTACATATATTAAAGGTTTACTTGAAAAAATGTGCCTACGCAGCGTAATTTAATGAACTTGACATTTTGTAACAGCACATATGTACATATGTACAGCGGAATTGTTACGTGGCATATAAATATATGTATATATGTATGTATATAATAGTACCTACGGCTTAGGTATGCAATATGTTTGTAGTGACTTGAAACAACAAAAAGTATTGGAATGTATGATTGGTTGAATGATCTATAATGAATAAACCGTTATTTGAGTATGAAAACTGCCACATTAACACATACAGAATGCACAACCCGAATTCATACATAAATATTTTATGGAATAGATATGCATACATATGTCGTAAGGGGTATGAGACTAACTTAATTGCAAACATATTAACTAGAGTGTAGAGTGTAATATTAAAAAAGCCCACAATCTCGAAGATTGTTCTTAATGATAACATCGGTGACGGCATCAAAAACAAAGCGTACATTGTTCGTATCCGTTGCGCATGTTAAATGTGTATAAATCTCTTTCTGGTCTTTTCGTTTGTTGAGACTTTCGAATTTTATACGTATATAATTGTTTTTTTTTTTGTAAGTGTTGGGACCTAGAGAGAAATAAAGTATTTTTTTTTTTAGTTTTTTCCTTCAAATGTTGAGATAATTTTTTGCAAAATAATTTCACTCACCTGTATATTCCGGAAAGCAAATTGTGAGTGGAGATCTTTTGATTTTCTCTTCGAATAAATCCTTCTTATTCAAGAATAATATTATAGATGTTTCCACAAACCATTTGGAATTGCATATTGAATCGAATAGTTTGAGTGACTCAATCATACGATTCATTTCTTCGTCTTCGGCAAGTACTAGATCGTATCCTGTAACGAGTGAATGAAGAAAAAAGTTTGTAAGCAATAAGTCAAGGTGTTTGTGAAATTGAAACCCCTTTTGTGGGTGTGGCTGAGATAGAATGTTTAGAAATGTGGTACAAAATTTTTTAAAGAATTTTATTGTGGCACACCTAAGCAAATGTTGAGGACGCTGCGGTTTAGTTCAGATAGATGGAGTTTCAAATAATTACGCGAATCCCACTACCCTCTTCTATGAGTGTAAGGTGTCAATAGAATTGAATTTTGTGGAAACCGCTATATAATGTCATGGAAGGCGCAGGAAACAATCTCTTTCAGCAGGTTCGGGTCAGAGGAAGAGCAGTGTTAGACAAATTAGAAGAGTTGTTGACTATGAGACATTCGCTGCGTATATCCGAGTTGAGTCTTGATAAGTATGAGCTTAGTTTTGGTATCAGTCTTTAATATGGCAAGATTACGCAAGACTCTCAGGCAAGTTGGAAGATTTTGTCTGCAAACGTTGTGCTTAGTTTCCAATAATGTCATTCATGGCGACCCTGTAAGATATATGACAAAGCTCACCGGAGTAGCTTAATCAAAGCCCCTATTTATTTGTCTGGAGATGGTTCTAATTTAATCAGGTGTAAGCTGGGATGTTCGCAATGACCCTGTGGGGAAGGGGTTCACAAATTTTCCCGCGGTAAAACATGCCTGTCGTAAGAAGCGACTAAAATCCAATAGTTCTCGGGACAGTCCGGAACGACCCGGATTTTTATCCGGCCAAAGGCTGTCACTCTCGAAACAATAACAAGGTTGTTCCCAATTGATATCCCCGAAATATGTCAAGATATCTAACCTCTAGAACTGTATAACAAATTGTGGGAAAGCCCAATAGAGCTCGGCTCGCACCGAATATAAAGTCGATAACTGTGAGTCACATTCGACAGCCTGGACTCCTGTACCATGCAGACTACTGCGATTGTCACCAAAGTACAGAGGCGCAACAGAATCCTCATATTAGAGATTTGAACACCACAGATTAGTAAGGACTTCGTCGCAGAGATCATCAACTGCAGGAACCTGAATTACCCCCAAGCACCGGAGGAAAGGAGTATTGGACCAAACAAGCTTCATTCTGCGCCATAAAACAAAACATTAATTTTAATTCTCTTCACATGATTGGCCTGCTCGATATCCAACCGCTACTCATAGAAAACGGCGATCTCGAGCTACCTCGAGAGACACGGATGGTACTGACATAAGTATACGTTAGAAGACTTAACTCATACCTTTCCAAACTCGATCCCTTATATCCTGCATTCAGTGTGCTCGCGCCACCTCTTTGAATACCCACTAAAACCCATTCATCTAACACCCTTCTCACTCTGGTTCTAACCGAAAGAAACAACTAGTTTCTTGGACCGCTCTTTAGAAGACCTAGACAACATCGACTAGCTTTGCATACTGAATCCGCTACAACAACAACTGATTTCGGATGATTTGACCACTCCGCTGAGTTAAGGGGACTCAGCATCAGCGGACTTCCTTCGTCGGAGGCCGGATTTGGAAGTCTTAAGCTTCTTGATGACTCCCAGATCAACCGTCGTACAGTTTGCGCAGGTGACGAGCTATTTTTGGTTTGTCTCTGGATATCGAGATAGCTTTTGCTCCTTTTCAGAAACGACCAAAGGAGTTAAGTTACAATAAAGATAGCTCGGACTTCCGAAGCAGAACTGTAGCGTACTAACCCCTACTAGGACGGTTAATTAAGACGATCCAATCGAAGTTCAAATTTCTATTTTGGGAAATTTTGCCAAAGCTACAGTTTACAGTTGAAACACAAATCATCAATTCATCTGACAATAACTCACCTGATAGTGCGACACAAAATATGATTGCCGTTACACCTTCAAAGCAGTGAATCCATTTCTTTCGCTCCGAGCGTTGACCACCAACATCGAACATTCTGAAAGAATTCAATAAAATAATTAATAAGAATATTTAATGAAATTAATTTCGATTGCCACTCACTTGAAATGCATGCCTTTACACGAGAATTGTGTCTCCACTATACCCGTGGTCTTTACACGCGTCCGCAGAACATCCTCAAGTGTTGGTATGTAATTTGGTTTTGAGATTTCATCCAATAAATTCAAATAATATGCAGCGGAATCATTCAATTGGTATTCCCGTGAGCGGGAAAAGGACTGTTGTACACCAGCATCGGCCCACAATTTCTTCATGAGCAGCACAATTTCCGGCAGTAGTATACCCTCCTCGGCTGTGGAGGCGTATGTAAAGAACTGGCGTGCAATTTCTGTTTTCGATGGATCCGCAAAATCTATCTTCAAATGACCCATAGCACGTATGATGGCCATCATACTCTGTATGGTATTGCTGTAGACAACGCGTCGATATTGTTCGCATTCTTCTTGTGAGTAACCTTTGTCGTGTATGATTTTCATCTGTTTAACAATTGTGGATTTGCCAGATTCGCCGGCACCTGAAATGGTGGCATAGAAAAACATAGAATTAGTTGTATTCAAGAGTTGTGTGAACTTTCGAAGCAAGATCCGGTGGAAAAGTTAGAGAAGCGAACTTAATCATATACCCCCATCACTCCTAAGCAGAGGAAGGAAGAAAGCATACTTATATACATCACCCGTGACAGAAAGTACTAAAAGGATGTTGCGATCTATAAAAATTTGAAAGAAAATTTACTCGTCAAGGAAAAAGTAAGGCAGGAAAATTAATGCCGGTCGGCCGGTCGTAAACTATGCTGCACCTATCTGGGCGCCGGGGACGAAAGAGACGCAGACGAAGAATCTGTTGTTGTTGTTGTTGTAACCGAACTGGCTTTCGGAGAATATTGCGAGAGTGACAATCATTGGCCGGATTAAAATCTGGGTCGTTCCGGACTGTCCCGAGAAATATTGGATTTTAGTCACCTCTAACGACAGGCATGCCTTACCGCGGGTAAATTCTTGAACCCCTAACCAGCAGTATGCCGGATTTAGCCACCTTCAAGAATGGTTCTAAACTCGATGAAAGATAAGCCTGTGTGAATACCCTCACCTACGTTTTCAACCAATTTTATTTTAGGGTGAGGCTATCAGACTCCAGGCAGTGTCTTCCAAGCAAGCTTTTGCAATTGCGGCTGCTCGTAAGTGTCTGTTGTGGACTTCCTACATCAGGATCCCAGCTGAAATGGCTTACACAGCAAGTGATGCTTTGGCGACATCAGGTGGGCAATGTTTTGGCAGGCTGGTAGCTTCGAGCTCTCTGGTTTCTAGCTTTTATTGGTGTATCCAGTTGGCGCCAAACAGTATAAAAGCAATACTTGGCTTCCATTGTTGACTGGACTATAACTGTGAGGGACGGGGTGTAAGTGGTAGAGGCTTCCGGCGATCACAAGAAGCGGGATACAATTTGGATACACCATCATATCAATGACTGAGACACTAAAGAGTGGAAACACAAACCATTGCCGTTCGAAGGCGGATCTCCGAAGTCATTGAGGAGTTGATCATATTTCTCTTTCAGTTGGATGTTATTTTTAAACACTATTATCATAACCAATGAAATCGAGTTGAGCGTAGAATAGTATATCTTTACGATGAATGTACATACATACTCATCGTATACTAGAGACAGAAGCTTCTGCTTAGCTCTGACGCTATCGATTTCAGCGCCGCCAAATTCAACAAATTTCGCCACACCCTCATTCATGATCGACTGCCATTGGTGGCCATACAAACTCCAGTGACCGCACCAAAAATAAAGAAATACATACAGACATGCTATGTATATGTATGTACAGTACAAGTATTGTAAATTTATGAATGGAAAAAAATTCTACGTTTTTATGAATGAAAGAATAAATGAATGCCACAAATTGTTCAATTGAGAAGTTCAAAGTGTCAAAGCATAAATTTACCAGAGGACAGAATAATATAGAGTAACCCAACAAAACAAACAACAATATATAGAAGAGACAGACAGACAAACAGCGACAAAATGATCAAAGGCAAAAAAGGTGGAGCAAAATGCGGCTGCCAGAGCGAGTTTCTATTGAAAGTATGAGTTGGTTTGGTCCGGGACCTGACATTAGATAACCTCGACGACTTAGACTGTATTTGACATAAAGGCTTATTAAGTTCAATTAACACAAGAACTCATCAGTAATGTCGTGTCTTTGTTGATTGGCTCATTGAAATGCATGAAAATGATTCGAAATTTCATCGAAACATCACTTTGACTGATGAGGCAAATTTCTATCTCGATGGCTAAGTCAATAAGCGAAACTGTCACATCTGTGGCTCGGAAAACCCAAGATTTATTGTTGAAAAGCCTCTCCATCCTCAACGTGTTACTGTTGGGTGCGGTATATGGTACGGCGGGATCATTAGATCTTACTTTTTCGAAACTTTCATCAAGATGGAGCAACGAAACCATCGATATTTGAAGGAAAAAGTTTTCGGATCATGTTATCTCTTGAAGAAGTGATTCCATTGGTTACCGAGATCTTGTGGTGCAACACCTTGCGACTACCTCCTTTGGGGCCACGTTAAAGATAAGGTCAACGCCAATAGGCTAACATCGATTCGAGACCACAAAGATGGAATTCGTGAAGCTATTGAGCGCATACAGCAGCCACTTTGAATAAATAAAGGTTTGTCCTGAATGGCTGACGGATCAACCATAGCCTCAATCTGAGACCGCAGAGTCGTGAAACTATTGATAGTTTGTTAGATATAACGAAGACATCTGAGAAGAAGGCTAGACCTGGGAACGATCTATTCGAAAAAATCTAATTTATTTTTAAATCCTACGATTTACATGAAATTTTATACATACGAGTACATGATTTTATGCCAAGTTAACCGGAAAGTAGACCCAAGATCAATCTATTTATAGTTCAATTTGGTTAATACGATTTCCTTTCGGAATGAGAGCGTTGTAGGGAGATCACTAGGCTGATTAGGATCGTGACATGTTCAGTGAATGATCGAATGTAGCGCCGTTTTAAAGTTCTTTACCAAGCAAGGAAAATCAGTAGCGACTAGAATGTCTAGAAAATACCATAATGTACAACGATACTCGACTATGGAAGTAACAACTCGCAGAAATCGTTGGAGTATCGAATATAACCATTTTTTAAGTCCTGCACGATCATCTTGGCATGGCTAAGGTCAGCGCAAGATGGCTGCCGGGTATGATCACACCTCTGCAAAACCAATAGCGCCTGTGTTGAAGTGCAGTTTTTGGGTCGCTGTAATTAAGGGAAGAATGGTGTATTAAGTCGAATTGTTACTGGAGACGTGACTTGATTCCATCAATATGAACTTGAGTCGAATCAAGAACGATGCAATAAAAAGGACACATCACCTTCCCAGAAGTTTAAGGTGTCACAGTCAGCTGGACGGAGTATTATTGATCGATTATTAAGAAAAATGTCTTTCTACAACTGAAGAGTACTACGCTTCAATATCAAAGCGAGTGAAAGAAGGAATTAAAGGAAAAAGAAGGAAAATGTTGACGAAAGGTGTGCTGCTTTTGCAGGACAACCCGTCCGATCGCAAGAACCGCGCGGGCTCGATATTTTGAATCACCCACCCTGCAACCCAGACTAAAAAAAAAAACCTAATTTATCCCTATCCACTGCATATTTGCGCAAAAAAATAATACAAATAGGAACGAATGACAAGATGAGACGCCAAACTGATCAAAGGCAAAACAAAAAACCAACAGTCGATTAATCAAATAAAGCTCGGCTGAGTGCATGAGACAATACAGAGCTTGTATGTGGGCGCACTTTGGGAGTATTAGATCACATTGGACACAAACAAAGAAGTGCGGCTCATGGGCCGATTGTAATTACAACCAAATAAAGCGAGAATGTTAGTCAGCAGTAGCAGCAGCAGCAAAAAGTTCACTGGTGATTTAGACAAGCTAATTGGATGCTTACACCCCGGCGATCGCCTGTTGTGAATTACACAACAATGTCAATGACTAAGCGCTGTGCTAACCGCAAATATCAATAACACGACATAACATACATACATATGTACATATACGGAAGAAGTGATCTTTGGTGCTGTAGACTTTTGTGCATTTAAAACTTGTTTGCGCCAATTTAAATGACTCAATTATTTTAGTAAATTGTAAACAAAAATTTAAGGGGGATTTACAGCAATCCGTTAGAACGCCAAAAAGTGAACTTAAAAAAATTCTGAAAAAATCATCGAAGCCTCAGAAATTCTACTTAAGATATTATAAAATAAGTTGACGCAGTTATTTAACGATTTTTTTCCTTTGGTGCAAATCAAATTTTCCTTTATTCTTTCGTCGCAATCGCAAACGAAATGAACGAAGAAGTTTTTATTAGAAGAACAAAACTACACTGGATCAAAATGATCGGTTATATGCTTCATGAACATTAAATGGTCCAAAGTGTGTACTTAACTAAAAGAACGAGAAGAGAGAGACTGAACTGAGTTGATTTTCTTTAGTCATCTGTCTGTTTGAGTTCAAACTGGTCACTTTATTTCAACCAAACTTGGCATGCAAATTTATTTTTATATTGTATTGAGCATTTGGTATTGGGATTCTGTAATCGGCGAGATCGGAACACCAAAATATACTATATGCCATCGATTTTTTTAGATTTGAGATTTTAGGTCATAAATGCGCCAAAAAATATTCTAAAATCCACGCCAGTAACTACAAGTAAAATTGACAATGAAAGTCATCGAGATCGGGAGTCTATATACATATATATTATACATAGCATTCCTACAACCGATTATGGAAAATGTCAATAAACTCATACCAGCACTGTGTCGATTGCCCAGGAACTAAACATTGCTCAACACCATTTGAAAAAGGCTGGATACATAAAGATGCTCGAAGCCTTAAGAGTTAATGAGAAAGAAAGCTTTACACTGATAATTTTAGCTTTATTTTGTCTCTGAGCATTCAAAAATACATACAGAAGTATGCAAGCTATTCGTTATAGTCGTCAAAGCACGATAACTTTGTTAACGACTAGACAGCCGGGCGTGGCAGCCGATGGGTTAGAAGTATGTACTACCAAGAGGAAAGACTCTGGTACGAGTCTTGGCACGAGAAACATCCGAACTGATAAAACAATAATTTAGTTGAAAGGAACTCTTCAGGAGGTGCACTGTTCCTGTAGCTCCTTTGGGCACTTTCTAGACACAATTACCTCATAGGGTCTACATGGGGCATTTCGCCTCACCTCATGCATTGGTATTACATAGTGGTTATCAAATCAATTAAACGATGCTTTGATGTGTTGGACCGCTGCCAGCAAAGTCACCTACAGGAAAGAAAGCATTTGAGGGATTTCAACGGCTCACTGTTTCTGCTTAACGGTATCACTACAATCGCTTTGCAGTAGAAAGCTTTGCAGCGAAGTCATTGCTGCTGACTTGGCGGCGTTGGGTTAATTTACTTCAAGAATCCCCAGGCATAACTTAA